CAGCACCCGCCGCTCCTCTTCATTGGCATACAGGGCATTGAAGGCAGGCGTATCAAGACAGGCTCTACTAGCAGCAGTGAAGAAGATGCCGAGGGTCTCCCAGCGCAAGTTATCACCAACCATCAAAGCGATGAAATCGGCTAGAGTCGAGTTTCTTCGCAGTTTCATGGGTTTAAGAGTGTTTTCTAAGATGAATCTAGCCCACCTTGAAACCTCCATGTTGTCACCATCGGTACTAGTGACGGCTCGTTCTTTGAACATGGCACCGAGCGCCACTATGGCCTCAGAACAGCTAGCAACAAACGGTTCCGCCAACGGGAGGTTTACGCCTCTCCCAAGCCAGGTACGCACAAGGAGGTGCAGATTGGGGATGTCCAGCTGGTCCAGGCGTCTCAGTGTGTAGATAGCCCGGCCCGCCAGTGCATGATCCTGAAGCAGATCTTCGGGCGCACCCACCCCGGCTTGGAAGGGTAGCTCCCCATTCTTGGCCGGCGATTCAGGCGCAGAGCGGGAAGTCACTTGATTGAAAAACGTGGAATGGCTGGAGGTGCCTAGATATCCCGGGTTCGGGTATCGATGGGTGGCGGAAGCCACGGGGGTAGACAGCTCGCTTTCGGGCAGATGCAACAATAGATCCCTCTCCCGCTCCCTCTGAGTCTCCTTCTGGTGCGGTGACGACGTCGACTCCTCCCTTGAAGGGGGGTTGGCAGGCTTCGTAGTGGTGGCACACCTGTAGTCATCATGCAAAGGATCGCAGGTTAGCTCATCTTAGTCCCTTGTTGCAATGCAGTGCAATGCTGATGATGGTGGATGTGATTCCGCGTCACGGCAAACGACGGCATTATGCGATCACTTTTGGTGGGAAGGCCGACTCGCCGAGTCCGTCCTCGATAGCGGAAACTTACTCCGGGGCTTGTTGAGCCGAGTTTCGCCTGCGGAAAGGGCGCGCCCTGTAGAAGCACGAATCCCCCTGTCGGCGACTGATGCAACGGGCACATGTGGGCCGTTCATGGCCGCACGCGAGCTTTGCCCGGCGGCAAGGTTCACACGCCGCCAATCTGGTTTTCATCGAGGACATGTGTGCGGCGGGCACGGAACGCGGGTGGGATGGAACTCCGGATTGTCACAAGAGATTGCGCGGGACGGACAGCGGAGATGGGTTCCGTTAGCGATTGCATTGCCACGGGACGAATTGACGGCCATTGACCAGACAATGGACGGTGGCTTGCGAGGAGTTTATGGTTCAAGCAGGAGAAAGAACGTAATGTTGTGTCGGTGTAGGTTAGGCAGGTGGTTCTTGGTGGTGGGTATTCATAAAGTTCTTAAAGGGAGGCGGACTCGAGATGGGCAACCACACCCCCATCGCATGGCCTCGCAGACGCTGCATCTCGCGTGACCCCCACTACCAGACAAGGTTACCAAGTAAGACGGAGCATCGAAAAGGTAAAAGAAAACCCCAAAATGGGTCACGCGGCCTATTCGGAGGAGACAAGAGGAAACAGATAAGAAAGATCCAAAGTTTAGCAGGGCGTCATTGACCAAAGCTCCACATTACGCCGAAGCTAAGCGACCTTGTGCCCGATTTCGCCGTAGACGAAGTCCAGGAACTCTTTCTTCACGATTGTGTCACCTGCACCAATTCCGACAATTGGCCAGTAAAGCACAGAGTTTTCTCGGTGCCCCCTCGCTAGATCGGGACACGATCTGGATAAGCACGTCCAATGGCGGCTTGCATTATGCAGGAGGGTGTGGTGCCCCATCCTGTCCAGGAGTACCTCCTACGCCTATACATGTAGGCCCAGACCCAAAGTTCTCGCCTTCTAATCAATTCATTGTTCTATCATTTTCTGCTTGAATTGAATGCTATTTCTATAAAATAATCGGAAAATATGCCCGCCGAAAAGGTTGAACTAGCTGATCTCCGACCTCTGCGTCAAGAGGTGAAGCCTACACAATGGGGTGTGGCAGCTCCCTGTAGCAGCGAGACCTTCAAGACCCGAAGCAACAAATCCAAACCTCTTGCAAGAGATTGGACTGGTAAGCAAGAGTTCTCTCTTTCCCCCATTATCCCTTCTTATAACCAACCCTATTCAGATCGCCTGAGTCATGAATCCGCCAGCCGGACTGGCTCATCCCTCAAGGGTGCCTTCAAGCATCTACAAAACCCAAACATCATCTCCCTTGGTGGAGGACTTCCTCTGAGCGAATACTTCCCCTTTGACAAGGTGGGATTTGTGAACCCTCAGGTAGCAAATGGTCAAGTGACCGAAAAGAAGCTGGAATCCTATGCCGGCAAGCACGATCTCCGAAACGGCCAGAGTGTTTTTGATCTCTCCGTTGCTCTCAACTATGGTCAAGGGAGTGGCTCAGCCCAGCTTCTGCGCTGGATCACTGAGCATGTCGAGATCGTTCACAACCCTCGCTACGCCGATTGGCAGTGCACCATGTCCATTGGCAACACCTCTGCTTGGGACATGGTTCTCCGTATGTTCACAAAGGCCGGTGATGTTGTTCTCTCCGATGCCTACACCTTCTCCTCGGCAACAGAGACAGCTTCGCCCTTCGGTGTCAAGTTCGTCGGCGTGGAAATGGACGACCAAGGTATCCGCCCAGACAGCCTGCGACACATTCTGAACACCTGGGACCCTGCTGAGCACGGAGGATCACCCAAGCCCTTCCTTTACTATGCCATCCCTACGGGACAGAACCCAACGGGATCAACTCAAAGCACTGAGCGCCGCAAGGAGATCTACCGCGTAGCTCAGGAGCACGATCTCCTCATTTGCGAGGATGACCCTTACTACTTCCTCCAAATGGATCAGTTCGACCCATCCTCCAAACCCAACGACACTACCACCAACAAACCATCAGCAGCCGATCTGGTAAAGATGATTGTGCCCTCCTTCCTCGCCCTCGACACCGACGGCCGTGTCATCCGCATGGACTCATTCAGTAAAGTCATCAGCCCGGGATTGCGTGTGGGCTGGGTGACGGCTCCCGAGCAGATCATCGAACGGTACAAAAAGCATGCCGACGTCTCGACACAGAGCCCAAGCGGTCTCAGCCAGATCGCCCTCTTCAAACTCCTTGATGAGCAATGGGGCCATGCCGGTTTCTTCGACTGGCTGCTACATCTGCGCACCGAATACACGCAACGCCGCGACGTTGCCGCCCACGCTTGCGAGCGTCACCTTCCCAAGAGCCTCCTAAGTTGGTCCGTCCCCGAAGCGGGCATGTTTGTAAGTAACCATTGAACAAATTTGACTTTCCCCTCGCGAAGGGTAGTATTCTTGCTAACGGGATGGTCTAGTTGTGGGTCAAGTTGGACTGGGAAAAGCATCCCCAAGCCGCCGGCAAGACGGCAACGGAGGTCGAGGAGCTTGTGTGGCACGACGTGCTTGCAGAGGGTGCCCTTGTCGCCCGCGGTAGCTGGTTTACCGCGGCGCCAAGCAAGACTGCCAACGAGGTGTTCTTCAGAATTACATTTGCTGCTGCACCACTTGACAAGGTGGAGGAGGCCATCAGACGGTGGGGAGAGGCTCTAAGGAAGAGCTTTAATATTCAATCTGAAATCTAAATGATATAGAACTACGTAAAATTTCCAATTCCAAAAAGTATTGACCTCAATATCATGGAATCAGCCGGGATAATTCTCATTGAGAAATAACACCGGAACTACACAGATCTATGGTGAATCTAGATCGGCTGTGTGACCGAACCAGGGTTAGAGGTCTCAAGTGAATGCTAAGGTATGCGTAATGGGCAAACCTTCAACAACAATCTCGCAGCTTTTTCAAGTCTTTTTAGATTCAGGGTATCGTCAAAACTGCCAGCCTCAGCATCATAACCAAATGGAACTAGTCGTAACGGTAGGATAGGAATTCTCTCTGAATCTGCAGAACACATTCTCGTCATGAGACTCTGTGAAAGTCCATTAATAAAATTGAGCGGTACGAAGTGAGAGGTCACCAAAACGAGTACAAGACGTGCGGGAGAGGCTATGACTTTCAAAATGCGAGAAGCAACATACTCGAACGGGTAATTTTTTAAGTTGAGAGGGGCATTTTAACTTCAATCCAAGTGAACCTTCGCCTATTGGGTGATAGTAGATCTCCGCCTGACGTATTTCCTCATCTCCCCCTGCATTCTCTGGGCAGAGTCAAGGGGGGCTGGGCCAAGCAGAAAGCTCGATTGTGAATAAGCCTACTAAATAGGCGAGGTGGCTGGTGCTAATATAGTAAGTATTAAGTTTCTCATGTCTTGTTTCAGTGCTGTGTATTGCTGTAAGAAAGTAGGTAAGTTTGATTCCAGACAAGGGAAAGCAGTCTCACTACGCGAGCACGTCATTAACCCAATTCACTATCACCGAATCTAATCCAGTTGTATGGTATAAAACAGCACCACTTTGATCCAACTAACCAAACTTTTCTTATATCCAAAAGCCAGAGACTATTTATAAAGTACCATCAAGAAATTATAGTTGCAAAACCTGCTATAAACGGCTAAATTTATATAGAACATTGGGACTCCTCGGCCTGTGTAAGTGAGACGTCGCTATAGGGTAGGAGGAAAGTGGCGGAGTCGCATTTCACAGCCTGGACTGCTATTTATTACGTGCTGGAGCTGGCTAATTAGGTAGCCGTTCGCAGCGGGTATCCGTTTTCGCAACCGCTGTAGCCGATAAGATATGCTGCCCCGTGACGTACCTCGTCCTTGCTCCCTTCATTCATGTGTTCACGTTTGCATCGGTATTCAATTAGCGGGTCGTCTGTTATTCGTTTGTCTTTTCATTTTCGGTTTTGTTTCATCTTCTTGGGTTTGCCTGCCGTCTACCTGGGGGTAATTTCATGAAGCACTGCCGTCGCCTGTCTCACCGTTTCACCCTGACGACTGCAAGCCGGCGGGTTGAGGGCGCTTCGGCCCCAGACCCAACCAGCAGCATCTGATTTCACCATCGCTATCATCGGCTCCCGCTACTTATCGTCTGGAGGGCCGTCAGGATGGCATCTCCAGATGGCGTGAGAGAGCCAGGGGCTCCGGGGAGGAGGAAGCACAGCCACCACCAACTTGGAACTGTCAGCGGCGTCTTCATCCCCGTCTGCCTCAATATCCTCAGCATCCTCATGTATTTGAGATTCGGCGTCATCCTTGGTCAGGTCGGCTTTGTAGGGATCCTAGGTACCGTACCCCATACAGCAAGACTGGGCACATTTGCTTGAGTGCGCTTATCAACTAACATCATGTATGGTGCAGGCTTGTTGTTTATTGCCTATCTAGTCAACTTTCTGACCTTATTTTCCTTATCGGCCATTGCATCCAACGGAGAGGTCAAGGGAGGAGGCCCTTACTATCTCATTTCTCGCTCTCTTGGCCCCGAGTTTGGCGGTTCTATCGGGTTGCTTTTCTTCCTTGCTCAGGTTCTCAATGCAGCTTTGAACATCGTGGGTTTCATTGACTGCATAAGGCTTAACCTTAGCCCCAATTTCCCTCCGGGGTATTGGGCTGGATATGGCTTACAGACGGCTGCCCTGGTGTTTTGTACGGTCTTGTGCGCGTCTGGCGCGAATGCCTTTTCCAAAGCATCCAACGGCCTCGTCTTGATCCTTACCCTGTCAGTGGTTAGCATTCCTGTATCGGCCATCTTCAAAAAGCCCTTCCGAGACGATAACCTCGGTGTTCATTTCACTGGAATTAATGCAGAAACCTTGACAAGCAATTTCCTACCTCACACAAGCAGTCCGCATTATCAAGGTCTCGCAACGTTCCGAGATCTTTTTGGGATCCTCTTTCCGTGAGTGTTTTCTTCTCTCCTATCATATGACAATTACTAATGATAAAAAAGGGCTACCGGTGGTATTCTGGCTGGTGCTTCAATGTCTGGAGATTTGAGAAACCCTAGTAAATCCATCCCTAAGGGTACGCTATGGGGAACTCTCTGTACCTTCATCGTCTACTTCACAGTTATTCTCTCCTTAGCCGCCAGCACGACCCATTCGTCACTCTTAGCAAACACCAATGTGCTTTCTATCACAAGCTTGGCTTCACCACTCATCTTCGCTGGAGAGTGCTCAGTTACGTTGTTTTCGGCGCTGATGGGGGTAAAAAGCGCCGCCGGTTTGCTTCGAGCTCTTGCCAAGGATAAGCTATTACCAGGACTGTCAATCTTTAGTAAGAGCCTCTCCAGAGGAAATGTGCCCATCGTGGCCCTGTTGCTTGTCCATTTCATCGCTCAGGTAGCCCTGCTTGCCCAGTTGAATCACATCGCAACACTCATTTCCATCGGTTTCCAGGTAAGTCGACAAAATGGGTCATGAAGCCTCACAATTTCACTGCTCTCCTCTAAGACAAAATCTATATTTTCTGCCTATCACTCTGACAACATGCCTCGCAGATGACCTTCTTGATAATGAACCTTGCTTGTTTCTTCCTGAAAGTTGGCTCAGCACCGAACTTCCGGCCACGATTCAAGTTCTTCAGCTGGCAAACAGCGGCCCTAGGAAGCTTGTCCACGATGGCTTCGATGTTCTTCATCGATGAGACTTGGGCTGCTCTGGCCATTTGCGTCTTGATTGGCTTGTTTAGTCTTATCCACTATCTTTGTCCGCCCAAACGTTGGGGAGATGTATCCCAAAACCTCATATATCATCAAGCAAGGAAGTATCTTTTGCGGCTGAAACCTGAACATATCAAGTTCTGGCGGCCCCATATCATTCTTCTTGTGAACAACCCCCGAAAGCAGATGCGGTTGATCAGGTTTTGCAACTCCTTGAAAAAGGGCTCTCTGTATATCTTGGGGCATGTCATTGTGACGGATGATTTCAATTCGGGCGTCCATGAAGCGAAGCTCCAACAACAAGCCTGGACGAATTACATATCAGAGTTCTCTCGGATCAAGGCCTTTGTGCAACTGACCATGTCGCCCTCTATAACCTGGGGGGTTCGGAACCTAATCCTCTCGGCAGGCCTGGGAGGTATGCGACCCAATATTGCCATTATAGGTTTCTACAACATGGACGATCTTCGGAGCTCTGACCCTTCTATTCCCGTTCCCGATATACCTACATCCATTGCCTCTAAAATGAACAATCCACCGAAGGCAGAAGGTAAACGGCCCAAGAATGGATATCGTGACACCCCAACTCGTTTACTAGAGGGAATTCTTCCCACAGATGTAATGCGTGCGGAAAAAATGATGAGCCCGATGGAATATATGACTATTGTTGAGGATTTGGCTCTTCGTTATCGACTCAACACGGCGGTCGGGTATGGGTTTGAAAATATCGAGACGCCACTCCAGGCTGGCAAAAGTACGAAGAAGTACATCGATCTATGGCCAATCCAGATGTCCGCTGAAATCACATCTGAAGGCAAGAATATTCTCACGACCAATTTTGACACTTGTAAGTGGAGCCTAAACTTAGGATGCTCGTCAGTTTGCCTAGTTGAGTTTGGGATCTGGGACTGACAATAAACAGATACTCTAATTCTACAACTTGGTCATATTCTGAGAACTGTTCGCGCTTGGAAACAGTCATACAAGCTTCGAGTAATGGTTTTCGTCGAGTGGGAGAGTGAAGTGGAAGCCGAGGGGACTCGAGTCAGAGAACTTTTGGACAAGCTTCGAATCGAGGCAACTGTAGTCGTCGTGTGGCTGGCTTCTGGCCACCTCAACACCTACGAACTCATTGTTTTCGGGCAATCTCATGATATAGATTGTGAGATCATGGTCAATGAGGCTTTACGTGATGAGCAGTGGTGGGATGATATTCAGATGTTCCGGGGACAGTATGATCACATCTCTCCGACGCGAGAACGAGCCCAATTCGCGCATATTTTGGATTCTACGTCTGGGCGACCAGGAGGTTACAACCCCCATGAGAAGCGCGCCAAACCTCGCCGTCGTGCCAGTGTAGCTGATCTTTTAGACATGGCCAACGCTCAGAACGTCGGGAACCTGACAAAGCTGGGGGCCAATATGGGCATACACACGCATCACCTTGATCATGATATCATGGGTGATGACAGTTCCGGAGCGAGCTCTGAGGCCGATGACGAATACGATGACTTGGGTGAGAGCTCCGAGCCTGATTATAGCGATTATGATCATACTGGCCCTCGGCGCCAGCTTAAACGTCGGCACTCGTTCGACCCGGAAAACCAGCCACTTTTGTTCGGGCCTACGAGCAATAGAGGGCGTTTGAGAAGCAGAATCATTCCGGAAGAGCCTGAGATTGAGCCATATGAACGCCCAGCTTACGGCACTCTGTCAACAGCTCCAACACAAACAGCCAGCATCATGCACAGGCCATATCCAAAGGAAACCTCCATCGCCACCAGAAGAGATCTGGAAGCATCTGGGAATCAGATAAGGCCGCTCGTTCTAAATGAAGCTCAGTCTTCCACCGGCCCTGGTCTTCAATCTAGTGCAGATGACAGGGAAGGTTCTCAAAGCCCTACAACAACAAGATCAGGCACCACAACTCCACGTGGTGGAATAATCACACCTGCTAGGTCAGAAACATCCAGACAGTCTTCTGTAGCTCGATCCTCGACCCGACCAAATCTACCGTTGAACTCTTCTCTATACAAAGAAGTGTTCAAGTCTGGGTCTTCAGCAGCCACAGCATTTCTCCACCAAGACAGTGCATCACGACCCTCTGCCTCGAGACAATCATCGTATACACAGGCAAAATTTTCGTGTCGTCCGACCCCAGCTACCAAAGTCATCGGCGACGATGTCAGTCCTGGGATGATCACATTCGCTGAACAACCTGCATACGAGCCTCCATCCTCGCGACTACACTCGCGTGCTCAGTCTCGCCAAAACTCACGTCCCCATTCCCGCCAACCCTCACGAGCCCATTCTCGACAAAACTCCCGAAACGACACTCCCTATGAAGGCGACATAAGTGTCGACATCTCAAGTCTTCTTGAATCCACAGATGTTATCGACCATGCCCAAACAGCGGATCAAGGCCCCGTAAATGAGAGCAGCTCAGGCTTCTCGGTGCAAAGTGAAGCAGCGCTTTCATTCAATGACTTGCCGAGCAAAGCACAACATCTCATCATCAACGAGCTCATGCGGAGACACTCGCGAGACACCGCGGTGCTCCTCACCACGCTACCGATCCCGGCGGAAGGGACGAGTCAGGATGAACTCGCCACCATCCAGTATCTATCGAACATCGAATTACTCTGTAACGAGTTGCCACCCACCTTGATGGTGCTGAGCAACAACATGACCGTTACCATTAGTTTATAATGTACATGCGCCCACGTATTCACATTCTTCTCTTTCTTATTGAGGTTTCGTTCATAGCAGGGGGTTTTCAGTCACATATACTCTTTCGGGAAGCATAGTTCTTTACATTTTGGATATTGTTTATATTTTTTTACCCAATCCTCCCTTCTGTTCTTTGAGGGGTCTAGCCAAGCATTGTCTGCATCGTCATCATCGTCATCAGCATCATCTCCACAGCTCTAATTCTATACATACATCTATTCTAAAAAATGCTTCATAATATCCTGGTGACCACAAGTTCTCCTTTATTGACACCGTCTAATTCTACAAGGCCGCCGGCCTCGATCTTCTTCTTCCACTTATTACTCTCGTAGCGTCCTGAAATTATCGTCATCCGGACGGTGATACTGTTGCTTGAATCATGTTCTGAGGTGTTTTCACCCACTGGCGTAAAGTTCCAGCGTCCAAAGGCCCAGTTGAGGATATAGCGACCCTGAGGGTGTGCCGCGGGCTGAGGAACATCTGGGTCGGAATTCTTTGGCGTTGAGGAAAGGGTCAGCACGGACTTGATTCGGTAGATTTCATCCTTTGGTGCAGCCTGGAGGAAATTGGTGAGTTTCTCCGTGGAGACGGCGGCGCCAGCATCACCCTTCAGCTCGATCGACAGAACCTCGACCTCGCTCTGGTGGCCATGCTTATGGTCCTTTCCAGCATGATCGTGATTGTCGTGTCCAGCGCCATCGGTCTCCGCATCCGTGAGTTCCTTGGCAAGGCCGCCGTCCACTCCGAAAATCACACCCATGGACACCCAGCCCTTGTCGTTCTTGACGCGCGCAACGTCCACATCCAGATCAGCCACCCTATCCAGACACTCATCGTAGCGGTCCTCCCCCGCAGTCTCCCACTTGTTGAAAACGATGAGGTCCGTGTACCGAGCCTGGATCTTGGCAGTATAGCTCGTGTCCTCGTACCCCTTCC